CTTGCAGGACTGGCCTAGGGTAATTTTTAGAGGGGTTTTAATTATATTTTAAATTTGACAATATTTAAATATCTCTTTTAATTAATTTTAAATTTGTATTGTTATTTATGTATTTTAATTGATTGTCAGCCGCCCTGAGTCCTACGAGGAGAAGGGCGGGATATAAATCCAAATAATAAATAAATAAATAAATAAATTATAGTTGATAGTTATGATTGCTGTTTATCATAGAGGCTGACAACCTTTTGGTTGTTCTTGTTAGATTATTTCTTTGTTTGTGGTTACACCAGGATCATGGTGGGCAAAGTGGTGGTTTCATGCTATCACTGCAAGGGGCAGGACTAGAATTTCAAGAGGTGTACATCTTTGAGGGGAAAGGCTTTGTTTGAACAGTTGTTGTTTTTTTTAATAAAGAAAGGCCGATGAGCCTTCCAAATGATGCAGGTTGATGTTGCTTTTTTGGTGACATGGCAAAATTCAGTAGTGCAATATCTAGATCCTGCAATCTGCTCTCCAAAAAGAAAAAAAAATATCCGGCTTTAATGAATATGCTGATGTACCAAAATAATGAGGAGTACTTTTTACAGATTATCTTGCTTTGTTCGAAAATGCACCAGAGGACATATCTAAGCATATTTTACCTGCATAATGTGTTCAATGTCAATCAACTCCTAGTTGCTTTTTTACCCTAGAGTAAATTGTCTTTCAAAAATCAAGGAGGAAAAAAAAAGGCACTAGATTGTCTTTCAAAAATCAAGGGGTAAAAAAGGCAGTAACTTGTAACAGAGAAATAGTGGGTAGGGAAATGTTCCCTCTCAAATAGTTATGGGTAGTCAGGAGTTGGTAGCAACTTTTAAACCTATACCTTCTCCCAAACAAATACTAGGATTCTTACCTGTTCATACTGATTGGTAATGACTACCAATTCTGAATTCTCTTCTTCACACTTACTCTTTGCTGTGTGCCAAATAACTTGTGTGACAGAGAAGAAGTAACATGCACCATCAAAATGTTTCCATTCTCTGCTTTTGGCTCCACATGGGTACACTGGCAAAGAAAAAAAAAAGGAAAAGAAAAGAACTTTTCCGCTTTTGGTTGCCAGACGTTTTGGTCTAGATGTCTGCTACACTACACTGGAATTTTGGAAGCATGTAGTTTTTCTGCAGTAGAAAAGCAGAAAACTAAGAAGGATATGATCAGCTGGGAACTGGGAGGGTTCTACAGTGGAACACAGTGAGTGGATTGAGTGTTCCCCTCTGGAAAAACTCATGGGAATAAACCTAGTCTCAGTGAATTATTTAGTGTATTGAAAAGAGGAAGAGACCATGTTAGAATTTAGAAGAAGGAAACACAATCGCCTTAGAGATATCTGAGCCACAATTGTAGTGGAAAGAAATTATTGCCCTGGGCAAGCAGTTGGATTAGAGGACCTCCAAGATCCCTTCCACACCTAACAACAACTTACTGTGAAAAGCAGATTTTATGGTGGAATTTGATTTTCAAGGCAGTAACTGCGTTTCCTCAATGGACTCTTGTACAGAGGCTTAGAAGGCTTACTGTGTTTGCCACTTTTTCTGGGATCACATGGTATGCAAAGAAATTACTTCCTTAAAACTGAGGTGCTAGAGTATAATCCTGCGTGGAAAATACAACCTATTGATATTTATTGTCCTAAAGAGCTCCATTGTGGGCTCTATTGGGATCTACTTCAATCAGTACCCCCCACACCCAACAATTAGGTCCTGGAGCTTGTACATTTCTTGAAGATGACTTACGGTTTTCTAGATGTTGGTCCCACTTGCTCCTTCCTATAAGAATAGAATTGTACACAACAATATTACAAGTTGAAAAGCAATAAAAATACCATATTCAAAGGAATCTTAAGCACTCTGAAAAAAATCTAGACCTGGAGTTAGCTTTGTAGAGTTGATGCCTTGCTGGCTTCTGCTGGCTAGCAGATTTTGTGAGGGGAATTGTGACCGGATGCTGAATCTGAGTTGGTGTTAATTTCTCCAAAACAAAGGAGAGATTGTTGAGATCATCTACAACTCTGGACTCCTCATAAATAAACCATGGAAACTGTCATTCTTATGACTGGTGTATGAGTGGAAGGCTGAAGTTGGTGCTTACATCAAGCATACTTGCAAAGTAGCCCATATGGACATTAAGCTTGACTGATCCCTACATATATTTAATCACTTTTGAGGATTTTTTAAAAATGTTTTGTATATTGGAGAGATTAAGACCCTTCAGTCTGCAAGTATTATATTTGTTAGATGAGTTTTCACCTCCTTAAAAGACAATGGTGTGCATATGATATTTTTTTTAGACTATTCAGCAAAAGGATGCTTAGTACAAGGATTTTTGAAAGTTAACAATGGATTAAGGGACCAGAGGGATTTTAAATTATAGTTTTGAATTATTTGGAAGATATTTTCTCATTTGAAAAAATGGAGATTGCTTTGGGTGGGGGGGATGATTAATGGTAAGGAGACCTTGAAGGCTGGACACTAATGGAGCAGAAATCCTTAGTGCAAATTTTTGTATACCATTCAGTCAAGCTTTTGGACAGAACGGATCAAATGCTTGATAAAACTGATGGAGCATGGTCTAATAAAGTGGTAACACAAGAAGGAGCTGCAATGGATGTCTATTAAATTAATTTGAAGGATATTTAAATATAATTCAAATGGATCTGATGGATGAGTTATTCCCTAAATGACATGAACAGATATTAACTCAGGAAACTGATTTAGATTTTTTTCTTCCCTTCTGGAATTACAAAAGAGCTCTGCTAAAATTTGGAAAGACCTTTCTTTAGAAGTGTCTAACAAAAGGATAGATTTTACTTATTAATACAAAAGAAATCTATTATGCTTCTGAAGGATTTTTACTTAGAAACACAGATGATGAGCAACTACCACTGGGACTTTTTTAATGAAAGGATAAAAGAATAATTACAAACTCAGGGAAGGTTTATAAGATTAGCTTGTTTGACTAGAGTTAAAAGAAGAAAATAGTTATATCTGGTTACTCTTACTGGACTTTTGTTGACAAAGATTGATTGACATAACATTTGAACTTTGATTTCTTTACTTAAGGGATGAGTCATGGGAAGGAAAGAGATTATGCTTTATTTAGAGAGGGTGATAAAACTTCTAAAATGGATTTTAACCTGGTGGGATGAAGAGGGAAGTTACTTCTTTTTTCTTTCTTTTTCTCTCTTTTCACCCTTTTTTCATCCATCTGCAGACTAATTCTTTGCATTGCATTTTATTCTGGCCAGGAAATAAAATGTCTACAACAACTGATTTATAAGTCCCTTGTCTGAACACAGAATTTTGGCTTATTTCTGGCTTGTTTTTCGGTCCCATTGGGGGACAGAAAAAAATGAAGAAATGAAAGCAAAACTCTAAAAACCTAAATCAACCTAATTATTTTACTTACCTGCATGACTTTCTCTGCTTGTTCAGCAAACCATGATTTATAACTTAATCTTAAAGACAGTGCTGGATTGTAAAGTACGGCAATTAACTATAAAGCTGATACTTATATTTTGTCTTCCGATGCACATGGCGCTATATTGTACCAAGTCAGATGGAAATTAATGTATGTTTTGTGGGTTCAGTAACTTGTTTTTTCTAGAATACTAAGATTTTGAGAAAGTTTTAAAGCCACTTTCTACAACATTGTGTCCTGAACCCATACAGTATGTCAGAAGTCAAAATAGCTGATTTACCCTGGGATGCCACAAGCCCGAACAATATGATGATCAGCAGGTAAGAAATGGCCAGAAGCACATAAATTATAGTAGATGTCCATTTCCATTGTGGGATAAATCTGTCTTGAGAGAGAGAAGAAAAAATGAGAGAGGGAGAGAGAGAGAACAAATTAGAATCGTGCATGAAAATTCTTTGCAGTATTTGTGCTTTGAAAACTCCTTATGTAATAAAATGCTCTGATAGACAATGCTCTGTAGTGTTCTAGTAATATTTCTAATTTCTAATGTTAGGAATGCGTGCACACCTGGCTATGTAGTTGCATTTCCCATAGTAATAAGAGTCAATAGTGTAGTTTTGTATATAGTAGATACATATAGCAAAACATAAATAACCTAGCAATAATGAAAGAATACATCAGTATTTATTCAGAGCTCTTTTTTTTTCTTTTTAAAAGATCAGACGTAGCTCTATGCTGAGCAGTGATGCCACCAAAGTAATATTTTCTGGCTGAAAAGTTTGACTCATAGAGAATTATATTACTAATCTTAAATACAGGGCATATGTTAGAATCTTCTAATTTTTCTCTGACTCAGAAAGTTAATCCAAATTAGTCAGGTTTATGCTCCTTTCTACAAATTAATAAAGTAAAGAGGAAACATGTCAAAAATATCACGAATGCCACATTTTAATCACCTATTCTCTGTATAAAAAAGTATTGAAATTATAGGCATAGAATGATGTAATATAGACAGAATAATTCTGTTTCACCACTGTTTGTTTATCTTTCAAATTTAAATTCACTATTTGTTAAAATTTTATTGATATTTGAGATTTTCAAAGCAGTAAGCTTAATCTGGTAGCTGATGAGTTTTGCCTTCGTCAGATTTAAGAAATTTTAAATTTTAAATATTAAAAAGAATTTAAAATAATTTGCAGTTGGAAAAGGGGGGGGAAGAGGATGTTGATGTAAGAATGTTTTAAATGGATTGGGAGATTTGAAATATTGATTATATTTTTGCTGTAAGATTTGAAAAAAAAAAGTATATAATTAAATAATATACTAATGGGAAATGACTGAAAGGAAACCAAACCCATATTAGGAACTGAGGCTTGATTAAGGCTGCAACTGGACAATACAGGGAACTAAAGGACCAGGCAAAAAAGAGATAAAATAACTAAGCTGGCTATAACTTTTTCTTATCTTAAGGAGATTTTTTAAAAAAAATATGGGCTGACATATTAATAGCTAATATCTCAGATACACATTTCAATGGATAAACTTTAGAAGTTGATGAGAAAAACTTTAAGAAACTTTTACCTGATGGAGGACAATAAAATTGAGATTACTAAAATGGGAATGCAAAAGACAAATCAAGAAAATGATCTGGAGGTGGAACAGCTGCGACAAGAAATCCTGGATGATGCCCCTTTATGGGATTTACAAAGAAGCCTGGTAAAAACTTTGAAGATTTCTTTTAAATGCCAACAAGTGATAAAGGACCAGATCCTGTGATGCCATAAGAATGATTTAAAGGTTAAGGTTGTGCAGAGCAAAAATGGAATATAAAGGTGGACTATTTGATAAGGGATAAAATATTTGTTTGGTATTTCTGGTAACTCCTAAAGGACTTTTTGCTGAACTAGGATTGAAAAGATGATTTCTGGATTGCATATAGATAAAGGTTAGGCTATGGGAAGTTTAATGAAGAGAAGGACGAGGGGGGACATGATAGCACTGTTCCAATATCTCAGGGGTTGCCATAAAGAAGAGGGAGACAAGCTATTTTCCAAAGCGCCTGGAGGCAGGACAAGAAGCAACGGGTGGAAACTAATCAAGGAGAGAAGCAATCTAGAACTAAGAAGAAACTTCCTGACAGTGAGAACAATTAACCAGTGGAACAACCTGGCTCCAGAAGTGGTGAATGCTCCAACACTGGAGGTTTTTAAGAAGAGACTGGACAGCCATTTGTCCGAAATGGTATAGGGTTTCCTGCCTGAGCAGGGGGTTGGACTAGATGACCTTCAAGGTCCCTTCCAACTTTACTATTATTATTATTATTACTATTATTATTATTATTATTATTATTATGAGGTTTTTTTTAATTTATAACTTTGAAAGAGGGTGGAAAGTTAGTATAACAGCTTATGCGTGGCGTGATGAGGGTTGGAAGGCGCTTCTTTCATATTGTCTTTTCTGAGGGGTCCTTGGTGCTCTCTGAGCTTGCTTGTTTTCTTGCAGACGTTTCATTACCAAACTAGGTAACATCATCAGTGCTACTATGTCTGCAAGAAAACAAGCAAGCTCAGAGAGCACCAAGGACCCCTCATTTCAACCCTGAGCTACAAATATTCTCCTTCATTGTCTTTTCTACTTCTATTTTTCTTTTCTTTTTCTGTACCTTTTGAACTTTTCTTTTTTCTTCTAGCTTAGTTTGCATTAGTTATTGCTTTGTTTATTGAAAGCTTCAATGCAATTATCAACCAAAAAATAATAATGTAACTTCAAAGTTAATGAACCTATGAAGAAAAGAATGAGAAGAACACAATTTTTCAGAGCCCCTTACTCTGGGACAGAAAGATAATTTGAGATTAAAAGACTTGTGCACTCACACCCCAACTGAGAGTAGACACCCCTGTGAGCTGAAAACAGACAACCAGGAATGCCTTGATCCAACCAGGAGAAACTAGTTTTTCAGAATGTCCTGATATTCTGAAAAATCACCCAGAAATAAACTGAGGATAAAGACACTACAGAATTGTGGGAGGCTAACTCTAACATTTAGTTCATCCCAAATGATCCTGGAACTGTTTCAATTAAGGTGAGCCCTCTCTAACTCCAGTGTTAACTGAGTTTTATGATAAATATGACACCGTATCTCCTCTTAACCCAGGCAGACACAGCTAATGTGGAGCAAATTTGTTATGCTAAACAAATTCTTAGTCTTTCCCCTACCATTAAGCTGATTCAATAATAAGTATTTACCAATTGTTCTTGCTGGCATGTTTGTTCTGGTTTCTGTTAAATATTCTTGATCTTTCATTTGCTGTTCGCAGTCATCGATGGGAATCATTGTGCACTGAGCTTATGATTGCGATGGGGTTTTATTAGCTTGAATTGAGGAACTTAAATATAATACGTACGCTCCCCCTCTTTCATTGCTGCTTCTTAGAAATGTCATAGGAAATTTGCTTGGAATTAGGCTTTTACTGGGCAGGTCCTGTCAAGAAGCCTGAAGCAAGATCTTGAGTTGTTAGCTGGGATAAATATGGGTTTCTAACTCATAAGGAAGTGGAGAACGTTCTTTGGACTGCAAACCTAGTCACCTCTTTCTTAGAACCATGCCTCTCCTGGCTTAGTAGGCCACTTGGGAGATGACTTAGATTAAGTCCATGCTTGATGTTAGCTTTCTAGAGGGAAGGGGTGATTGTACTGGCCTTAAAGGAGACAGTGGTATGCCCCTCCTCAAGAGGGCATCACCAGATCTTATAGTCTTGGACAATTTCCATCTAATTTCCAACTTTCCCTTAAATAATTTTATGTTAATTTGAATGTATCTCTTGTGAACATAGAGGTAATCCCCAAGTTACGAACGTTCATTTAACACTCGTTCGAAGTTACGTGATCAGCGCCCCCTAGTGTTTGCGAGCAAGTCCCAAAATTACGAATTTTGCAGCACTACGGCAGTCATTTGCCCTTATGAATGACTGCAGAGGCTCTGCAACATTCACCCTATTTCCCCCCAACTCCTCACACCTGCTTCCCCCTCCCTTCCAACAAAGTCAATGGGGGATATTAAAAAGGCAGAATATTATATTTCCCCAAAGGAATAATAGAAAAATCTTAGGCAGAAACCATCCCCCCTCCCACAAGTCTCTTTGACCCAAGCAGAAATCAGCTTTGAGAAATGCAGATTTGGTGAGTCATTCAGGAAGCTAGGGGCCAGGAAGCTTGGAGCTGATGGGATTAGAAAGACAAAGACCCCTAAAATCTACACCCCCACCCAAAATCTAAAGACATGACCTTTAGGACACAATAAGATTAACCCACCACCATTAGAATACCAAAAGAGCACACTCAAGTTCAGGTCAAAGTACATGACACAGGAACAGGAAGAACCTCAAATACAAAGGCCAAAGAAGGTATAAAGCCCACCTATCCCAACTCCATTTTGTCAGCTGTCCCAGAACCACATGCTGTTGGTTCTATTCTTCAATAAACAGAAACTTCTTTCCAAACAGTCTCCATTTTATTTATTACCAGCTTGGACTGGACCTGATGATATTTCTTTCAACGGGGGAATAGGTAAGGGGTAAAAGTAAAGGTAGAGAAATTCCAAAAAGGGGGGAACTAGGCATTCCGGAAAGATTGTGAACGGTGTGGTCCTCGTCAAATAGGAGGACATGGGAGGGATTTGTGCTTTGGGCCAAGAGAATAAATTTATTTGAAATTTATTTTGGGGTGTGCCTACTTACTAGCCACCCGCTCTTACAAGAACATATTTTTCAATAAACTGCTTGCTGCTTCACTTAATGACTCTGTCAAATTCTTGGAAGCTGAGTATGCTTCTCACAATATTATGCTCCATTGCAAATAGCTGGCCCATGGAAAAAGAATCTTATTTATAAGCTTTGTCAAAGCTTATAATCAAAGTGATCTTTGTTGATTTCATCAAACTTCAACATAAGTTAAAAATACAAAATCAACACATTAAACTGATAAAAAATAGTAAAATAATTAAATGCCGATCCAAACAGAAATAACACTCTCATCCAGTCAAGGCACCAACACATCATGGTCTGGGAAAAGACCAAGGTCCTGGCAGCTTTTCTAAAAGCAAAAGGTAGGATATTAACCCCCCCTTTTTCCATGGGCCTATTCTGGCATCTCCCTTCCTCCTTCAATCCTTTTGAAAGAAAGAACAACTATGCACATCCCAAGCACTACAGGGATATCATATCAAGTTTGGTGTTGGCATTCCTAACGATTGTAAATATTGCCCTAAAGGTATCCAATATTTATGCTTATTTCCTTAAAATTGTTGTGCACAAATTTGTTTTCAGTGCAAATGAAAAACGGATTACTCAACTGGTTTTTTAGGAAATGTGGTGCTATTCCGTCAGCAGTTTTTCTAACTTGTGATTCTCCAAATACTTGAGTGTGAAACCCCTGTCAACCCAGCCAGCACACTAGCAGTTACAGGACTCTAACTCAAATGGAGGTTGAGGAGGCCTCTATTAAGCCAACAGCATTTCCGTCCATCTTGCAAGATGATGGTCAAGAGACAAGAAACAAAAACAGTGTCTTGAAAGTAAAAAAAAAACTGTCTAAGGTGATGTTTATGGAATTCTCAATTATCCAGGTCATGGTTGTCCCAAAGGTGATTTTTTCAAAAGGCAAGTGAATTTTTTTAGTTTTTTTCTTTCTTTCTTTTTTCTTTGAAAACATTTTGCTTCTCATCTGTTCTGAAGAAGCTTCTTGGATGAGAATCAAAATGTTTTCAAAGAAAAAAAACCAAGAAAGTCCAGTTGCCTTTTGGAAAAAAAAAAGCACCCTTGGGCCTAATAAGATATTATTCATGAGGTTTGGATTCCTTAATCTTGACCTACAACACTGTTTTAATGGACTTCTTGGCAAAGATGGAATGCAATTCACCAGAAGAAACATATATTTGGAAAGGGAAATCCTAAGCTTTTCAAGACAGTTTTAAACTGAATTTGGGAGAAGAGAGAGAGGCATAGACTTTACTAATGATGGGCTTTGATCAGGCTAAGGTAGTATGAAGACAGACTGTAGATATGGAATGGCAATTAGACCAACTTTGACTTCCAAGAGATATTTTGAGGAAGGAAACTTTATAGTATAGGTAGTCCTTGACTTACAACCATTTGTCGAATGACCATTTAAAGTTACTGTCATGATTCCGACAGATGAAACTCTTCAAAGAACTTCGAGGCATTGTTTACCTTAAAGAACCTTTATTGGAGTAGCATAACTTCGGCACTAACATAATTGAAGCCAAAAACTGGATTCCCCTCTCCTGAGCACATAGTATCAAAGCACAATTCCTTCCTCCAATTACCAGTCATAAATCACATTCTCCAATTAGTTTGAAATGCAGGCTTTCCCTCCAGTTCTCCAACCTGCCAATTCTTATCATCTCTTATTTCAAGCTCTGAATTCACACACTAGTACAATACTGTTATTTCTAACTAACTCCCACCACATTCTGCCTCCTCCCCCAGCATCATCTAATTCTAAGAGTAAAGCATAAGAAAGAAAAAGACTGCATCTTCATATGTTGTCAAAGCAAGAACATCCAATGTTAGCAGCGTTGACAGTTACAGTGGCACTGAAAAAAGTGAGTTTAAAAAGTCCTTGCACTTACAACTGTTGCAGCATCCTCACAGCCAGGACCATCCCAGCCGGCTTCCAACAAAGTCAATGGGGGAATCTGGATTCTCTTAAAGCCACATGGTTCACTTAACTGCTGCAGTGATTGGCTTCACAACAGTAGCAAAAAAAGGTAACAAAATCTCATAATCAGCTTGCTTAGGCCCCAAGTTGTCATTGTAAGTCAAGGACTATCTGTCTCATGACAATTAGATGCTTAAAATCAACTTATACCATGATGCAAAATCTATAACAGTATTATCATCCCATAAGTGAGGTTCCTTTGGCTTGACCTCCCCCCGTGTCAACACTTGATTTAAACCATCTCCAAAGAAAAGAGAAACATCTCTGTCATGTACCAGACCTCCCTTCCTCCTTCCCTCCCCCCTCTCTCACACACACACATAATTAAAAGCTTTACTTTGATAAAGGTATACAGCAGCTGCAAGCAGAGTGTGTATGCAGTTAAATGCACACAATTTCAAGTGGTCCAAATCCCTTGAGAAACTGACAGACTCACCATTATCTCACACATCTTAATATTCCCAACCAGAGAAGGGACTTTACCTTAGCCCGATGTAATGCACTAACTTTAGCACTCCTAGAAGATACAAAAAGATACCATGCCCTTGTGATTCAGGACATGTAGAAACAACTGAACGTGTTCTTTTGCACTGCCAGTTTTACCCGGCATCCCAAAATGCTCTAATTGCCTCCACTCCTGGCTAGTAGAACAGGATATACTGGTAATGATCAGCAATACAAGCAATTCTTACTTTCTGATATTAATCCTGAAATAACATATAAGATTGCCACATTCTGTGCAATGGCATACAAAATTAGACAATAATTAAGAGCAATTGAACTTGTTGGAGCCTTAGCATTACCCACTGGTCTTTTTTTATGTCAGATATTAAATTGTATCTTCCTCAGATTTGTCAGGGCTCTATAATTTTAGATTTTAGGTTAGTTTTAACTAATAAGAATGATGTTTTTAAGCATATGTTTAACGTATCACTCCTACTTATTATTGAATGTTCTGGATATTCAAAAACTATTTCACCTTTTAAAAAATTCTGCTGGTTAATGACCATGATAAAATTATATGAATTTTTGGTTTTGATTTACAGACTCAGTCCCAATAAAGTTCCAAGGAGCAGGCAGAAGCATAGTTAGGGCACAGTACAGGGCCATAGAATTGTCATAAATAAGAGAGCTGGTCTGGGTTCAAGGAACAGGGATAAGTGTCACAGGATCAATGGGCAGAGAATCCAGCAAGTAGATTTATTGGTCCCAGTGAAAGTGGGTGGCTCTTAAACAGAGCCCCACCAGATGCAGGCAATCACTGAAAACCTCTTGCTCACAAGGAGCTATGTAACTCTCTAGGCAGCTCTTCACCTATTCCTACATGCTTTAGGATTGGGATGAGGTCCTGAATCAGACTCATCATCCTATGCTGTTTCCAGTGCTCCACCAAATCAGACTCATGTGCTGCTTTCTGAGGCAGGCTGCTGTTCCACAGGATCCTTTTCCTCAAACTCCTCAGAGCCAAAGCTAGCCATAACTGTTAGAAATTCTGTTTCTATATAACGCTACAAATCAAACAAAGAGTACAGTCACAATGNTGAGGTCCTGAATCAGACTCATCATCCTATGCTGTTTCCAGTGCTCCACCAAATC